AAGATTTGATCGATAGTTGGGAGCCAGAGCTTTTCAACATTGGACATGTCACTGCAGCCATCGAAAAGAGACTTGGAGATGGAGATGCTAGTGAAGATTCTATTCAGGATGGTGTGCAAGGCCGAGACTGGCGAATATTACTCGACGCTCTTGCCAAACTCTATATTGCCGATGGTCGCCCAAAGGAAGCTCTGCGATGCTACATCAAACTGCAGAATGCCGATGCTGCAATGGATCTGATCAGCGAATATCACCTGGTTGAATCAATAGCTGAAGATGTAGTTGGCTTTTTGATGCTAAGGGTCTCCCGAGATCAACTAGTGTCCGCGAATTTAGCAGAACTGGAAGAAAATATTACGGAGGCCGTACGCATGCTCGTTGAAGAATCCATCAAAGGAGCAATAGAGCCAGACAAGGTTGTGAAGCAGATCCAGGCGAAAGGCAATCAATATCGACCATTCCTGTTTTTCTTTTTCCGCGCACTATGGAAAGGTCACGGAACTATAGACACAAAATCGCATCGATTCAGTAGTCAGCGATTCCAATCTGAAGGTCGTATGGCTGTGGAAGATTTTGGTGACTTGGCGGTCGCTCTCTTTGCCGACTATGATCGCACCAATCTCATGGATTTCCTTCGACAATCGAGGAGTTACTCGTACGAGCAAGCCACAGCACTATGTGAACAAAAACAATACTTTCCGGAGCTAGTTTACCTGTTGTCACAAACAGGTCAAACTAAGCGAGCACTGGGTTTGATTATCAGTTCATTAGGTGATGTCAGATTCGCTATTGAGTTTGCCAAAGAACAGGAAGATGCCGAGCTATGGGATGATCTACTTGAATTCTCCATGGACAAGCCGGGGTTCATCAAAGGGTTATTGGAAGAGGTTGGCACAGCAATTGATCCTATCAAGCTTGTCCGACGAATCCCAGAGGGGCTGGAAATTGAAGGCCTCCGTGATGGTATCAGGCGAATGGTCAGAGAGTACGAAATCCAAGGTAGCATTAGCGAAGGAGTCGCCCGAGTACTCAGAGGCGAGGTGGCAGGGGGCATGGAAGCTCTACGCAACGGTCGGCAAAGAGGTGTCAAATTTGACGTGCTTGGAGAAAAAGAAGTTGCGACTACGGATGCTAAAACGACTAAAGGTGATCAAGAAATAGTCACGGCAAAAGAAGAAGAGCAACCGTCACATCGGCCACCAGAACCAGGGCATTGTGTACGGTGTAGAAAGGCCTTCATGGTTGATGGTAAGTTGTTTGAGATGACTGATTATCTTGTGACATACTAATGGAATTGCAGACAAGGATATCTTGATTGGATTTGCTTGTGGTCATATCTACCACCTTTCTTGCATAATAACGACGCTTGACGATGAACTAGCCATCGCCACGGCGCAAAGCCTACAGAAGCAGCTCGTGGTTTCTTCGGCGGATGAAGAGATCGGAGTTACAAGAAGCGTGGGCGCCAAGGTCGCACATGCACAGATGATCAAGACGATTGCTAGCAAGGGCTGCCCACACTGTAGACGAGTGGCTGTTGAGTAGTAACAATCGCAATTGACAACAAAACTCATGGCGAAAACAGTGAGGCGATACTGTACTTCAGGCACGCTACAACTTGCCGGTCATTGATTTGCTGGTAAGGCGTTGACTTAGCTGTCATTCATTTGGCCCTGAGGAAGGGTCTTTCTAGAAGCACAACTGCCAGGGAAATTAGAGGTAAGCCACCATTCGCGGGTGTCACCATACATGTCGTGTTTTTACTCCAGTCGCTGATAATGCCTGCCAGATGCGCGATGCAGCCTGTAGATACCCGTCCTGTTTATCAATATTGATCAAACTTTCTGTACAGAAATTACCCGTCTGCTTGTCTTGCCGTTCCATTCTCTCGTTTTCGTTTGCCAGGAATTCTCGCAGCCAGCGCGCCGGTACTGTGTTGCCACACTTTCAATGGCCAAGTTTTACTGGCGGTCGAGACTGGCTAGTGCTGTCTTGTTGTTGTTGGATTCACAGACTTGTCAGTCTTCGGATTGATACTATGCCATTGGAAAGCAACTGCACATGGCATAGTGTAGTACTGAGTACTACAGTGCAGAGCAGTCTTGGTCTCAGTGCTCCTGTCTTGCTGGTCATACCTTACTATTCCTAATAAGTAGCTCAGCGTCTATATCGTGCTTTCCCTTGGATTTCAGTCTAGTCATCCGCACCTTCTACATCAGGCAGGCTCTCCTCACTACTTTCCTAGACACCAACCCGCTCCTTCTCTATCACCACGCTCCTGCCATCTGTCCCAGCCCGCTCCTGCCTTTTACTCAGTTAGTTCCTTCTGTTACCGGGGAAATTGGCGGGTCGGAAGCTGATTGCTGCCGTTGCTCCGGTTGGTTGCCGTTCAACGCTGCCTATTTCACTCGCTCGCTCAGCGTTCATCTTGTCTTCTTCTTCCTTCTTCTCCACCAACTTCTGTCCTTCGTTTCCTCTACATCAACCTACCTTCAGCACCTTCAACCTGTTCCAAGATATCCCATCCAAAAGCCTTTGCCCTGACTTCTTTTCCATTCATCTAACTTCTTGACCATCTTGAACAAGATGCTCGCTCTTCAGCTGTCTACTGTTGTAGGCCTTGGTACGTCATGCCTCCACCAACAACTTGTGTACAAACATTCCAACTAACTCTTTGAAGCCGCGTCTGTGGCCAACGCTGCCTATGTCCCTCGTGGAGGTGGTGTTCTCAATGATCGCGAACACGCCGGCATCAACCCTCGCTGGGCTGACAACATTGCCTGTAAGTTGGCCCGGATGCGTCATGTTTTGATAGTCTGGGCAAAGTCTAACACGCGCCAGCTTACTCAATGACCACCATGACTGTCACTCATACTGATGCTCCGATCACTACTTCAACTTACTACGTGACTTCGGAACTCACTGTCACTAGCTGTGCTTCTTCCGTTACCAATTGTCCCGGCTCTTCTACCACTGTCATCACGGTTACCACTCCAAAGGTTACCACCATCTGCCCAGAGACTCAAATCACTTCCAGTGTTGCTGTGACCAAGCCCTCGGCCACTGAGAGCTTCTCTCCAAGCTTCTCGTTGCCTTCGTCGATCCTAGCGCCTCCGCCTGTGCCAAGCTCTGCGGTTGTCTCCAGCACTGTGTCTCCATCGACTGCCAACCCAACGGCTACTTCAAGCCCAGTCCTTCCACCACCACAGAGCTATGGACCTCCGCCACCGGTATCATCGCCAACATCACCACCAGTTGCATCTCCACCGGCATCTTCTCCACCGGCTTCCTCACCACCACCAGCTTTCTCTCCACCGGTTTCCTCACCACCACCAGCTTTCTCACCACCAGCCTCGTCGCCATCAACTGCCAACCCTACGGCAACATCTAGCCCGGCGATTCCACCACCCCAGAGCTACGGACCTCCACCACCAGTATCCTCACCGTCGTCACCACCGGCTGCATCATCACCAGCTTCCTCACCACCACCAGCTTTCTCACCACCGGCCTCGTCGCCATCAACTGCCAATCCCACGGTGACATCGAGTCGAGCGGTTCCTCCACCACCAGCATCATCTTCTTCAACCGTGCTTTCTCTTCCGCCACCACCTCAGAGCTATGGACCCCCTCCAGCATATTCGCCATCCTCCTCTTCAAGTATTGTGGCTAGCTCTCCTCCGGCGTCATCGTCTACAATCACCGTGACAAGCTCTCCGGCTTCATCGTCAACAATCACCGTGACTGTCCCATCTTCCGCAGTCTCCCCGATCTTCAGCTCTCCAGGCAGCTCAACAATTACCATCAGCTCCACCTCCACTTTGACGATCCCGGTGCCCTCTCCAGTGTCTCCAATTGCCACACCACCAGATCAGGATTCCACAGCTACGTTGACCAACACTATCAGTAAGACCAAGACAATAACCTTGACTCGCCCTACCAGCTCAAGTGGGAGCACCATCACTCTGACCTCCACCTCTATCAATCTTCCACCTCCTCCTCCTGGATACGGTTCAATTCCAGTTCCGATCTCTCCTGTCAATACTGCCAACCCGACAGCTTCCGTGTCCACTCATACAAATACCATCCCGGCTACTTCATTCAACACCACTGCTACAAAGACGAGCATTCAGAACCCATTCGCGACTGCAAATATCACAAACACACCAGCTGTTCCATCGCCATATCTTGGCTCAGCCAATTCGATGCAACTGTCTCTGGCTTCTCTGTTCCTTGCTTTCGCCATGGCTGCAATGATTTGAGGTTCGTGCCTTGGTCAAGATCACGTCAAGAAGAAATCAAGTCAGCAAAGCTTTCATTAATTAAGTTTTAGAGTTATCATGCTTACAGGCTTGCCTCATCACAATGCAGTGTTCGTTTCACTTGCTTGCGGCTTGCAGTCAACTCAACATGAACAAAAAAGGGTATATGTTTTGGTAACGGTAATGGTCAATTCTGATGGCCAATGTAATATAGATTTAGCGAGTAGCCTGTAATGATATAATTTGTGATTTCAATTTGCTTCATCTCACATGTGTGTTTGTCCTCTATTCTATTATATTTCTTTCTTGATACGGGATTGAATATTTCATCACGGTATTGGTCTTGCTCTACAGCCTTTTATTACCTCGCGGGAAATAGATATTGAGTTCCTTATCGAGCAGTACGCCTGTTCTTGAACCGAGGATCTATACATAATTTAACAATCTTCCTCGATATTTGCTTCCAGGAGTACCCTTGGGCGACTACGCGCTGAATTTAGGTATTTCTTTGCCATTGACCACCTATTTAAATAATTTAATTAATGCTCTTATATTTGACAGCTCCGAAATTCTCTCTAGAAACCCATATCTGCCCACTCAAGTCCAAGTTTGTAACGCTTGAAATTTACATTATATAATTAAAAACAGGCAATATTTGTCCTTGAAAATCGTCGATTCTCAACTGCGGTGTAAGCTAAATTTTCTGGCCTACTTTTCGTTACATAAACCTAACTTATTGCAGCTTGTGGTCTAGTGGTATGATTCTTCCTTAGGGTATTTTACTTCCCGATCTTGGAAGAGGCCCCGTGTTCGAGTCACGGCAAGACCCCAATTTTTTTGGCTCCTGGCGTGTTTGAGGAAGTGTGGAGGGGTTGAAGATAGTTGGTTTTGGGAGAGGGTGGTTTTTTTTGGGGATGTAGGGAGGGAGGGAAGGGGGGGATGGGTTGGATGAGGATGAGGATGAGGATGAGGTTTAGATGGATATAGGTGTTTGTTGGTACATGTTGGTAAAGTTGTTAGACGAAAGGTAGCAGATGAAGGAAATGACAATATGGCAAGACATATGCTCTACTACATCCTAGTATCTTAATTATTTTAGAACAGGAAGAGCCACAAATTTAATAACTCTACATACTTCATGGAGACGATCCAATTCCTAGAAGTGTGGAGGTCTCAATTTTGATATCAGTGTCCAAAAACACTTACATTCCATGCTTCTTTTGGTAACGTGCTACTGCTCGCATATACGTAAATGGTAAATTCAATCCGATTATGCTATTGCAATATCTTCTCACGCATGCCCAAAGCACCACTTTTCAATCCCGATTTTATGAGGGGAAAGCAGCTTCCCCCAGCCACCAAAATTCGACCCGAAAGCGGGCACAAAGACATTTCGGATCGTTTTTCATCGACTGTGCCGTGGTGCTTTCGCGCCATTGCATTTGTTGCCACGCCAGCTAAATGTTGATACTAACGGATCCCACAACCCTCTCTCACAAAACTGTCGAGTTATTAGGATCACGGCTTATGCCGGCCCTAGAATCACCAGAACGCATAACGATCATCCTGGCCGCACTGGAACAAACTCAGCATTCTGTCCGCCAACTAAACATTGAAGAACACCCTGAAGCCGTTGGCGAAGGGTCCCTGCTTCTGGATCTCCTTTCCAACAGCCATGATAGTGACTATCTCCACCATCTTAAGACGGCGCATGCAGCATGGATCGAGCAAGGCTTGCTCGAACCCACCGACACGATACTTCCCGAATGCTTTCCCTCGCATCGCCTCTCGCGCAACCGCACAATTGCGGCGAGGTTAGCTGAGCCTCCCAAGGACATTTTTGCACGCGCGGGTTTTTACGCTTTTGACATGAGCGCAGGCATCTGTAAAGACACGTGGAAAGCGGCCTTAGCGAGTGCAAATCTTGCCGTTGAAGCGGCCAGATTTGCCGCCGGCCATGAGGCTAGCAGCAATGGAGCCGTTGGGGTTGTTGGTGTTGGAGACGACCATGCAGCAGCGCCTACGAGCAGCAGCTTGACCGCGTTTGCGCTCTGCCGACCACCAGGACACCATTGTACGACGTCAATGGCAGGTGGCTACTGTTACATTAACAATGCAGTAATCGCGGTACTTGCCATGCAACGGCTGCACAAGAGGCGGTCAGCGGCAGCAAGCCCCAACATTGCTATTTTAGACATTGACTTCCACCATGGGAACGGAACGCAGGAATATTTTTACTCGGATCCTTCAGTACTTTATGTGAGTATTCACGGACAAGATGAATATCCCTACTTTACGGGCCATGTGGACGAAAAGGGTGAAGGAAAGGGAGAAGGCTTCAACTTGAATCTACCTCTTCCAGCTGGATCTACAGCAGAAGCATACCTGGAACTACTGGAAACTGCTCTCAGGCGAGTAGAAGAATACCGGCCCGAATATCTGGTAGTGAGCATGGGCTTCGATACTTTTCACCTGGATGTGTTGGGCAGTTTCAAGCTTGAGTCGGACGATTATTTTCGCATAGCGCGTAAAATAACCGCATCGAAGATCATCGCAAGGCTTCCTTGTGTAATCCTTCTGGAAGGTGGTTATGCTCTAGAGCAGCTGGGTGAAAATTTCTGCCAGTTTCTAACAGGGTGGGAAAGCAACAGACCGGTAGGATCAGGAAACTGATTTGCTCTCATGAAATGTAATGTTTGCGTTGTTACGTTACTACTTCATTCTTCTTCTACTAGAGGATGCACACCAAAGATAACTATCTACCAGTTGTCAGCAGGGTAGGATAACATCTGATGATCCTAATCCAACAGGTGGAAAAGCAACTGATGATCCTGATTCAATGGATGGGAAAACAACTGCTTGTGTGGCGTTACCTATAAATCTGATATGAATTATGCCTGTTGCCAGTTGGTTTTTACCAAGGTGGCCTCCAAGGCTCCAACACGGTCTAGAGAGGTAATGCTGCATAGTAAACGATTCTACCAATAAAAGACTATGAGTGCCGGACCCCTTGAGGCACGGCATTACGCAGCCACGTAGTTTTCTGCATGACCTTCACCCCGCGAAATGTAGCCAACTGACAGCTTCTTATGCATGGTTGAAGTCTTCAAGTAGTAAGTTGTGCTTCCCCAGCAGCTGTTGACCCTGCAGAAGGAAATTTCCGGGCTTATAACATGCCCAACAGCCAATGGAGCACTCCTATCGTCACCTTTGCATTTTCCAACCTACTCTATACTCAGGGTTGTGCTCGTATAGAAATTTTGAATACAGCCAATCTCAATTCAAAGAATTGGCGAATCGTCGCGATGGGGGCTGAAGGACGAAGGATTATGGTGGTCGGACAACCTAAAATCCTCGATGATACAACGAAGGTCAGTGGTCACTGAACAACACCACACTCTTGGAACTCAAGGATTATTATATGCTCCGCATGATGGATCTTGCCGACCGCCCTCTGCAATTCGCCGGAATCTATTTCTTCCATGAAAGAAGAACCACGTTGAACCTTGACTCTGAGCCTGGTGGAAAACCCCGGGAGTAGACGCCGCGCTACAAGCGATATCGTTCGCTTCGCCAAATCAGAGAGGCTGTGCTACCCGGTCCGCTAATAAACAATCATTATGGATTATGCTGAGGGTGACAGTCGGGCTTCTTCTTTGGTTTTTTGGATACGAGTGCTCAGTCCACTCTCATGAACGCTGAGCCTGCTTTCCAACTAACGCGCTGGGCGAAACCTTAAAGACAGTATGGCCTATCACTGACTTAGAAAGCTCCACTTCAAGCAGAAGAACTCGTAAAAGACACCGGTCTGCGCGCGCTTAAGGATTCGGACCCTTGTGAATATCGAATGGGGGCCTGGTCACTTTAACCCTGCTCCTCTCACAACAAACCCATATGCGAATAGTTTTAAGATGGTCATGAGCCCGGGTGAACAAGCATCGAGAGAATACCACAAGGTTTAGGCGGCTCGGACGCTGATTTTGACAAGAAGACTTTTCATGGAATCATCGGCGCAGATTTCAAGGAATTTCTGTGTCAGGTACACAGGTCATAAGTTGATGATGATTGATGACATTGACTATGAAATGACAAACCGGAATATTATGAACGATAGACCTCGCAATTGTTGTCGTGGCATGAACGAAGCCTCCAACCCCTATGCTTAACTCAACTCAAAATCAAAGCTCAAAGTAAGACAACTGGTCCCTTCCTTCATTACAAGCTTGGCGTAACTGCGTAACTAACCCCATCTCCATATGATTCGACTGTGGCAAAAAGAGTATGTTCCACAGCATGAGGCTAAGTTGGTATCAGTATTCTGACAAGTGAAAAGAGACAGTGGCTAAGTTACTAGAAGATCTAGTCTTGTCACCAGACTTTGCTGGGTTGCGAATCGATCTGGACAACCTCGAGCCTAAATTCGTGTTAGTAGATAGGTTCTCAGAAGAAATACCGAACAACTCACTCGGCATGCGTTGCAAATATCACCACGTTGATGGACCAAAGCGGCATCACCCCCACAGTGATCCTTCCCTTCCTCCCAGCATCGACAACGGAACATATTGTGCCCACCGCCCGACATTTTGAGAGTAAGTTAGCTGAGTATTGATTGATATAACTGGTGAAGAGTATGGTAAAAGGAGAAGGCGATGGGAAACAGAGAATGCAGTAGATGGAAGCGGGTTTTATATTACTCTCGTGCCTACCGTTTTAAGTGAGCAGTGCCTGGCCGCATTCTAAATCTGACATCTGGCCGCATAATTCAACTTCTGGACCTTCCAAGAGCTTTTCGGCGGATCATATTCTGTTGGTCAACCGCTACGTCGGTAAAGGAATCCCATATTCAGGCGAAGGCCCGCTCGGCTTGCAGAATCCAACAGTCTTGATTGCATAGTCATTGATACAGGGTCTTTCATAATTCCTTGCTCTGAAACCGTGTTGGTGCATCTTCCACTCTGGTTGGTAGGGGTATTTTTCTTGAAAATCCTGGTGGTTACACTGCAAAAGAAGGATTGAATGCACTACTTTACGAGTAGGAAACCATTCATCAAGAGCCATATTGAGACATTCGTCGCTTATGGCCCCTGTTTCGTACTGTAGTTGTTCAGGCCCATCAAAAACAGGATTGATATTCTTCTTTCTACTCTGACAGTATGTTAGTTTTCAGTTCGCCACCGTTCTTAATGAGTCGATAATCGCTTTTAGAGAACACAAACTTGAATTAGAGTCTTATTGCAAGTTTCATGTCCAATCTTGCAATCCTAGGTAGTAGTCTGATTCATAATATCCTCAATAGGCATGTCTAACTAGATCTATGCAACCTGTTGTCTTTTTGCCGCCCAGCTCAGTCTCGTTTTGACGCAATGGGATCGAAGCGATTGTGCTCCGCCGAAAGGATTCCTGAATGACAAGGGCGCCAATCTAACGGACAAATGAGAAAAGATGCAAGTGAGAGCCTCTCATGTTACATGCGACCCTATAAGAGCCTCTTGAAATGCTTTCGATGTTGGTAGGCATCCAGGTTGAGAGCATCCAAGCTGGCGATCCAACTAAATCCAGGTGCTCATTCGAATGCCCTGCCGCTTATGTAGCCGCTGCGAGCAAAATCCTGCACCGAGGATAATAGAGGTATGTACCCTACATCCGACGTCCTCTATCCGGGAACTGATCCACTCGAGTTCGAAACTCGAGCCAAGTCGGGTAAATCGAAAAAGATATGGAAGGGTGGCCTCTAATAATGGTTTCGCAATGCATCGTCACTCCAACAATTTGGTTTTCGTGTTCGTCTAGTAGGCCAATAGGAGTAAGTGACTTCAGACAACACAACG